ACCGAGACGCAGGGGTTCAGGCTCCGGCGAGTTCCTGTCCCGAGCGCCCTTTGATCCGGGAGATGGACATCTTCGGCGGGAGAGCCCGTCAGAAACGGTCCGCTGCCGAGCCGCGTTGTAAGAAAGTCAGGCGCACCGAGCCGTCTGCCTACCCGCAGTAATCTTGCTGCGAAGCTAACCAAGCCCGGTGCAAAGCGTCTGCGTGTGCAATAGGCAGGCAGGTGCGCGGTTATGTGAGTGCGTGTGCAATAGGCAGGCAGGTGTACAATTATGTCTGCGTGTGCAATAGGCTGGCTGGTGTGCAATTATGAGTCTGCGTGTGCAATAGGCAGGCAGGTGCGCACTTATACGTTGGGGGTTGTTTTAAACAGTTCTATGAGCACGTTCCTCTGACCAGCGCAACCACCAACGAGGACAAACAAGACAAGTCTTTTGAGTAGAGGCCCTCAAATGGCCCATTGGAAGGCCAACCGAGCAGAACACGTCGCCGCTTGCGAGCGCAGGGTCCGTGCTCGCACGACCCTTTCTCGCCAAAGAAGAAATCAATCCGATGTGCGCAGGGAGAGGCGGAGCGCCTGGCCTTGGTGTCCACCGGCCGAGGAGGGGACGCTGCTGTCTCTGGGGATGGGAGGGAATTGGAGTAAACCCCAGAACTGGCAAGTGGCCGCTGGATAATCTGAGGGCTCCCGCGTGTTGTGTGTAAGGAACAATTCGGTTTGAAGCAATGTGGACGCAAATGGTGACGGCGTCGCATTAAAAACCGCCTTGGCTCTCCAGTGGAGGGAGTTACCCAACGCACACCTGTGCAATAGGTGTGCGGTTATGTGAGTGCGTGTGCAATAGGCAGGGAGGTGTGCAGTTATGTGAGTATGTGTGCAATAGGCAGGGAGGTGTGCGGTTATGTGACTGCGTGTGCAATAGGCAGGCAGGTGCGCACTTATACGTTGGGGGTTGTTTTAAACAGTTCTATGAGCACGTTCCTCTGACCAGCGCAACCACCAACGAGGACAAACAAGACAAGTCTTTTGAGTAGAGGCCCTCAAATGGCCCATTGGAAGGCCAACCGAGCAGAACACGTCGCCGCTTGCGAGCGCAGGGTCCGTGCTCGCACGACCCTTTCTCGCCAAAGAAGAAATCAATCCGATGTGCGCAGGGAGAGGCGGAGCGCCTGGCCTTGGTGTCCACCGGCCGAGGAGGGGACGCTGCTGTCTCTGGGGATGGGAGGGAATTGGAGTAAACCCCAGAACTGGCAAGTGGCCGCTGGATAATCTGAGGGCTCCCGCGTGTTGTGTGTAAGGAACAATTCGGTTTGAAGCAATGTGGACGCAAATGGTGACGGCGTCGCATTAAAAACCGCCTTGGCTCTCCAGTGGAGGGAGTTACCCAACGCACACACGACTGAAAAGAGGGGAGAGGGCGAGTTAAAATCGACAC